TAACGAACACAAGACGTCCACGGTGGTATAATCAATTAATAGGCCCACGCTTGCATGTCCATTACAGGAGACATCTAGTATAAGGTATACAAGATGTAAATAAGATTTGTAATTAAGATTTGAAATTTTCCAAATGTCATTTGTTGGTGTTTTCTAAGGTCATTCACAGCCATAAAAGAAACGGAAAAGAAAAGAGAAAAAGTATATACAAAGTCACATAGATAGATTGAACTCAACAAATTAACTGAAACATTTATTTCTGCAAACAATGTTAATTATCAAAGATAGATGCCAACTTGGAACAAGATAATTATTAAAAACCAACGACAAAAATACAGAGTTCCAAACTCTAGTCTTCTGTTCTAGGGGTCACAATTAGCACTCTCTGGGCTTGGAAAAACTTGCAATACACAAGTCTTGTACATTCTAATCTCTTGTGAAGTTTTGATAACATTTCAGTTTTAAAATGTATGTAAGAGGACATAACAATTTCAAATACCACATTTGCAGTTTGTATTTGTGTTCACCTCTGCCAAAACTATTTATTTTACTGTTCCGGGAGTTGTTCTATCATGTGCGCATAACGATTATCATTACATATATTCTATGCAATAAGTGTACACTAGAAAACTAATAGATGAACATACTTTACTTAAGTTAAGTGAACAATATTAGTGATACGGTTATCTGTGTTTAGTCATAAGGTGGCAAAATGACCAAGATAAGACCTACTGTATGTGGGTTTTTTTCCTCAAACTATTTGACCCCCCCCCCACCAGTTGCAAACATGATCTGTTAAAATTGGGACCAATCTTCACTTTCTGAATGTATTTCATCTCTTGCGAACTGCCTATCAACCTCTATAAGATTATATAACTTGTTTGAATAAACAACTTAAAGGAACAATTGAGCTTTATTATAAAACTGGAAACTCTGTAGGCCTCAGAAATTGAAAAAAAACCTTCCTTTCAACTTCTACATGTATATGATCACTGATATTGTTAATGTAAATAAATGAAATGGAAATTAAAATTTTAATTTCAACGAGAAATTAAATTTCAGATTTTAACTAAATGACAAGCAAATTGCTATAATTGTATAGTGCACGAGTCTTAAGTATACACTTCTTATAAACCATGTGTTCTATTGATTACACAATGCAAATATTATAGGTAATGAGTGAACACTAGAAAATAACAGTCAAAAATACTTTACTTATTAGAAGTAGTTTTCTGTGATAAGTTATTATGTGGCAAAATGCCCAAGACAAGAACTACTAGATATGTGCTTTGGCAAGCTGTGCCCCCCCCCCCCCCACCAACTACAAATTAAATTTCAGATTTCAACTTAATTGCAAGCAAGTCGCTATAATGGACCGATCCGGCCTATCAATCAAACTTTGCGTGTTCACTCCATTTGACAAATCACAGCCATGATTGCGCAATCAAAAGTTGGACAAAAGTTTGACATGCATGTGCGTATATTTGGCACGCGCAGCAAAATTGTGCAGAATGGCATTGGAAAGGCTAGTACGCCTGTTATCCTCACAAACCTGTACGCAGTGGGCGTAGCTTAGTGGAAAGCTGGAATGGTCCATTGTATAGTACACGAGTCTTAAGTATACACTTCTTATAAACCATGTGTTCTATTGATTACACAATGCAAATATTATATGTAATGAGTGAACATTAGAAAATAACAGTCAAAAATACTTTACTTAAGTACATGTACAGTTTTCTGTGGCTTGTCTATGGCTGGGTGTAACACACTTGTCTATGTGAAGTGGCTGTAGCCGCTTCCATGGACACCTGTACTTACAAGCCGTAGCCATGTCCAACATGGATGCGGCTTATCACCTGAACGCAGTGCTGAACCATAAGGCAATATATAAAGATTTCTATCATAATTTACACAGAGTTATAATGCTCGTTTTATATATTTTAATCTGTTTGGAGAGTAAACAATATATATTATTAAATATATAAAGTGTTGGATTTAAAGTTCTATGTACATGTACGCTGTTAAATAATATATGTTTAATAATGTTTAAATAACAGTAGAAAAATACTTTACTTAAGTACATGTACAGTTTTCTGTGATAAGTTATTATGTGGCAAAATGCCCAAGACAAGAACTACTAGATATGTGCTTTGGCAAGCTGTGCCCCCCCCCCCCCCCACCACCAGTTACAAAATTGTACTGTGACGATTGGGACCAATCTACACTCTTCCTGAATGTATGTCATCTCTTAAGAATTGACTATGAATTTCTAAAAGATTACTCATTTTGTTTGAATAAACAAAAAAAGAAAACTCTAAGCTTTACGTGTCAAACATTCTTCTTTCGTACCTTTTTTTCTTTAGATGTCAGAAATTGAAGTTAACTTCCTTTCAACTTCTTTATGATCACTACTTTTGTTAAAATAAATAAATAAAATGAAACTTTAAACTTAAGTATCAACTACAAATTAAATTTGTGTACGCAGTGTCAAACATTCTTCTTTCGTACTTTTTTTTGTTGTAGATGTCAGAAATTGATGTTAACTTCCTTTCAACTTCTACATGTTTATATAAACCACTACTTTTGGTAAAAAAAAAGAATAAAATGAAAATTTAAACTTAAGTTTCAACTACAAATTAAATTTCAGATTTCAACTTAATGGCAAGCAAGGCGCTTTAATGGACCGATCCGGCCTATCAATCAAACTTTGCGCGTTCACTCCATTTGACAAATCACAGCCATGATTGCGCAATCAAAAGTTGGACAAAAGTCGGACATGCATTTGCGTATATTTGGCACGCGCGGCAAAATTGTGCAGAATGGCATTGGAAAGGCTAGTACGCGTGTTATCCTCACAAACCTTTACGCAGTGGGCGTAGCTTAGTGGAAAGCTGGAATGGTCCATTGTATAGTACACGAGTCTTAAGTATACACTTCTTATAAACCATGTGTTCTATTGATTACACAATGCAAATATTATATGTAATGAGTGAACATTAGAAAATAAGTCAAAAATACTTTACTTAAGTACATGTACAGTTTTCTGTGATAAGTTATTATGTGGCAAAATGCCCAAGACAAGAACTACTAGATATGTGCTTTGGCAAGCTGTGCCCCCCCCCCCCCCCCCCCCAGTTACAAAATTGTACTGTGACGATTGGGACCAATCTACACTCTTCCTGAATGTATGTCATCTCTTAAGAATTGACTATGAATTTCTAAAAGATTACTCATTTTGTTTGAATAAACAAATAAAAGAAAAATCTAAGCTTTACGTGTCAAACATTCTTCTTTCGTACCTTTTTTTCTTTAGATGTCAGAAATTGAAGTTAACTTCCTTTCAACCTCTTTATGATCACTACTTTTGTTAAAATAAATAAATAAAATGAAACTTTAAACTTAAGTATCAACTACAAATTAAATTTGTGTACACAGTGTCAAACATTCTTCTTTCATACTTTTTGTTGTTGTAGATGTCAGAAATTGATGTTAACTTCCTTTCAACTTCTACATGTATATATAAACCACTACTTTTGGTAAAAAAAAAAGAATAAAATGAAAATTTAAACTTAAGTTTCAACTACAAATTAAATTTCAGATTTCAACTTAATGGCAAGCAAGTCGCTATAATGGACCGATCCGGCCTATCAATCAATTTTTGCGCGTTCACTCCATTTGACAAATCACAGCCATGATTGCGCAATCAAAAGTTGGACAAAAGTTTGACATGCATGTGCGTATATTTGGCACGCGCGGCAAAATTGTGCAGAATGGCATTGGAAAGGCTAGTACGCCTGTTATCCTCACAAACCTTTACGCAGTGGGCGTAGCTTAGTGGAAAGCTGGAATGGTCCATTGTATAGTACACGAGTCTTAAGTATACACTTCTTATAAACCATGTGTTCTATTGATTACACAATGCAAATGTTATATGTAATGAGTGAACACTAGAAAATAACAGTCAAAAATACTTTACTTAAGTACATGTACAGTTTTCTGTGATAAGTTATTATGTGGCAAAATGCCCAAGACAAGAACTACTAGATATGTGCTTTGGCAAGCTGTGCCCCCCCCCCCCCACCAGTTACAAAATTGTACTGTGACGATTGGGACCAATCTACACTCTTCCTGAATGTATGTCATCTCTTAAGAATTGACTATGAATTTCTAAAAGATTACTCATTTTGTTTGAATAAACAAATAAAAGAAAAATCTAAGCTTTACGTGTCAAACATTCTTCTTTCGTACCTTTTTTTCTTTAGATGTCAGAAATTGAAGTTAACTTCCTTTCAACTTCTTTATGATCACTACTTTTGTTAAAATAAATAAATAAAATGAAAATTTAAACTTAAGTATCAACTACAAATTAAATTTGTGTACGCAGTGTCAAACATGTCAAACATTCTTCTTTCGTACTTTTTGTTGTTGTAGATGTCAGAAATTGATGTTAACTTCCTTTCAACTCTTACATGCATATATAATATGGAAATTAAACTTTAGTTTCAACAACAAATTAAATTTCAGATTTCTACTTAATGGCAAGCAAGTCGCTATAATGGACCGATCCGGCCTATCAATTAAACTTTGCGCGTTCACCCATTTGACAAATCACAGCCATGATTGCGCAATCAAGTCAGACATGCGTGTGCGTATGATTGGCATGTGCGGCAAAATTGTGCAGAATGGCATTGGAAAGACTAGTACGCGTGTTAATGCTAACGAACATGTAAGCTTTACATGTCAAAACATTCTTCTTTTGTACTTTTTTTTCTTTAGATGTCAGAAATTGAAGTTAACTTCCTTTCAACTTCTTTATGATCACTACTTTTGTTAAAATAAATAAATAAAATGAAAATTTAAACTTAAGTATCAACTACAAATTAAATTTGTGTACGCAGTGTCAAACATGTCAAACATTCTTCTTTCGTACTTTTTGTTGTTGTAGATGTCAGAAATTGATGTTAACTTCCTTTCAACTCTTACATGCATATATAATATGGAAATTAAACTTTAGTTTCAACAACAAATTAAATTTCAGATTTCTACTTAATGGCAAGCAAGTCGCTATAATGGACCGATCCGGCCTATCAATTAAACTTTGCGCGTTCACCCATTTGACAAATCACAGCCATGATTGCGCAATCAAGTCAGACATGCGTGTGCGTATGATTGGCATGTGCGGCAAAATTGTGCAGAATGGCATTGGAAAGACTAGTACGCGTGTTAATGCTAACGAACATGTAAGCTTTACATGTCAAAACATTCTTCTTTTGTACTTTTTCTGTAGATGTCAGAAATTGATGTGAGGAACCAGGTCCGAAGAAGACGTCAGAAATTGATGTTAACTTCCTTTCAACTTCTATATGATCACTACTTTTGTTAAAATAAACAAATAAATAAATCTTTTACAACTTTTGTTTGCTTAAAAAAAATTACATGCAAAGAAAATGTGTAATCTCTTGTTGACAAATCTGTGCAATATTAGAACAAAGGGCCTTCTGTCTTTAAGTCTTTGTATTTTTCTTATTTTACCGGATCTGCAGAAAGCTCATTGGATCTTGTTTTCGGACCTGGTTCCTCACAAAGTCTTTTACGTTTCTCCAAGTACGATTCTTGAACAGCTGGGGTTCGGCATTCATCAATGCAGTGATGGGTCCCTTCCCGGGTACCTTCCGCATCCTCAGGAACATGCCCAAGTGTTTCACAACTGCTTTTTTTTCAGCACAAGTCCATGGCCTCTTTGTTTGCTGCTGTACAACAAGCTTTGTCCCATCTGCATCTGTAATGAAGTTTTTAAAAGTTTTTAAAAGTTTTTTCTTTCTCTACCCTCACCCATCAAGATGTTTGCATAAGACATTTGCTGCACTGACAAACCATGTCTCAGGTACTTGTTGGTTGTACCAATGACTTTGGTGTGGTCAAATACTACATTACTTGACTACATTATGCCGTCTTCAATATTTAGTGTCCCATACTTGACAGCTTGTTAAATACAGGTTTTGCAAAGCGGCTGTAAAAGTGTCATACATTATGGCGGCTCCAACTAGTGAGAAACTCTTTCCGATTTATTCTAAATTCCAATGTACGAACCTTTTGCTTCCTCATTCAGACTCATGGGTTCCTCAGGCTCATCATCTCCCTCATCACCTGACGATTCCGACATCGCATCTGTATCGTATTCTAAGAAAAACAAACACATAAACAAAAAACCTTAAATATGTATGTATAATAACATGTATATATTGTACCTTGGTCTTGATAACCTTCACATTCCATACAATTTCCTTTATTGTGTTTCCTTTATATTTTATTCATTTTTTTGCTGACCAATTTTGTAATTTAATCATTTAAACATAATTCAAACATTAAAATCTATACACACAAATTTTTAGAGGTAAGTTTGAGGTGCAATCCAGCTTGGTTTGTGTTCAGTTAAAGCAGGCATGGTATAAAACAAATTGAAAATGTTATGGTGTTCAAAGTAATAACTAAACACTGAAAGCTGCCAACATTTCAATTAGTAATAAAACAGCATTGTTAATAGAAAATTGAAAAATGTTATGGTGTTCAAAGTACTAACTAATTGGTATGACTTTCTATGGTGTGGGCCCTCTTTTTTATTTATTTAAATTTTTTCTGATTTGAATACAAATACACATGTACTAACAAAAAATTATTACAATAAAAATAAATGTGTGTTTTTTAATTTTACACACATTTATAATTTTTATTTTGTTTCCACCATCAGAACTGTTTTCTCTCAGCAAAAATTTGACATATAACTTAAGTTGGAAGAATGTCATACCTGCTAGTGGATCGAATCAACTCTTGTAATTTTTTAGTACATGTAGTGATATAAAAATCATACCTTCACTAGGGTCCAGTTCAACATCCTTCAGTCTTTTTCCAGCTAGTCCCTGCACATCACCTTTGTCCATCTTGAGAAGGACCTTTGACAGTTTGGCAACTTGAAGTGTTGACTCTGGCATGCGGTAGAACTCACGATGGGTTCTGACATCATGACCTAAGAAGCTCGCCAGCAGGTCGAGCTCGTTTTCCTGAAGATTCATTACTTGTGATACTGTAGCAATGTGTTTGCGAAGTCTTGTTGCACGAAGGAACTCAGGATTCTTAGCTTTGCACTTTGAAGCATGTTCTCTAAGAGTGTCAGTTCCCCTTATGTGTCCCAGTCCTCGCTGATTACTGAACAGGTACGCATTGCTGTCATCTATTCCTGCTTCATGTCTTCGGTTCATCAGTGTGTCAAGGGCTGTCTTAATCTCGGCAGTGAACAGCACTACAACGGTACGCAAACGCTTTCCAACAATCTCAACTCTCCAGAGCGCTTTACACAATGCCTTCTCAAGTGCTGATAAGGCCCCATCAACAACACATGTTGTGCCACTGGCACACTTGCTGTAATCACTCAAAGTCATTTTTGACACCTCTCCAGGGCGTTTCCGGTTGAAAACGATGATCTGAGTCAGAAGAAGTTCTGCTAATTCTGTCCAAGCTTTAGGAACATCTTTGTTTACAGCCTTCTGCAGCTCTCTATGTCTCACTGCAACATGATTCTTGATGTATTTTGATAACTGAACAACATCCTCAGTTAAGGGCAGTAGCTTTGGGTTGTTTCTCCTGGCTTCTTGCAAGGTTCTCAGCGCATGATGGCTAACTTCACCCTCCCAATTCAAGTTATACAACTGTACTACAGCTTTGCAATTCTTCTCAAGAGCTTTGTCCCCGGACAACAGGGCATCTCCTCGCAGAATTTCTGCACAAGACTTAAGGCTATGCCCTATTTTAAGAGCCAGGCTGGGAGTTGTATAAAGATTTGTATCTTCTTGGAATCCTGCTGTTCGTCTCGTTGCCTCTAGGACTTTGGTAAACTTCTCCGGACAAATAAGATCCGCTAACTGGGCTTCCGAATGCTCGGTTAATATTCGGTACTCTAACACCATTCTTGCCACCTCACGCAGCCGCTGTCTGATGTATCCTTCTTGATCTTTTGAATGGCCATGTTTTTTGGTCAGTTTCTCTGCAAACTTTCCAATCAGTTGGTCTGATCGCACAAGTCTTCCTATTGCGTCACTTTTCATGCTGGACAAGATCTCATGAGTACGCTTACTAACCCCAGGTATGCTTGGCAACAACATTCTACTAGCTGTTCGTAGTCCAGTTTTTCTTTTCTTTTTAGTTGGTTCTTCGTCATCTGCTGCCTGGCTGCATTTATGTTTCCATAAGTCACTTTGCGCAAAATAGCCAAAGCAGTTGGTACACGGCAAATAGTCCATAGAACTAACTGTATATGCCGGCCTATATACTACGATAAGACTACCTTTTCCCTCTTCAAGAACTTTGGCGTTATGAAGGAAGTTTCCATAGTTTCTCATCAGCGTCAAGTGCTTAGCCCGTTCCTTGGGGTCTTCTGTGGCGAGCCACTGTTGAACTTGTGGTTCGTCTTTGTGCACATCAGTAGCCAAATGGCGCGGCAACTTCTTCTGTGGAGTCATACAAAATGGACAGAACTGGGGCTTATCCCATCTACGTGCACCACCATCATTTGAAGTGGTCAGTACTTCAATGTCTGATGTACATGTATTAGATGAAGATGAGCTCGAGACCGCAGAATCTTGATGGTCAGTTGAACCTGAACATGTAGTCTTATCAACTTTGACATTGTTCACCACTCTCCATTTGCCTGAAGCTTCATTTTTAAAGCTACTCTCAGGGAGGTCCTCATTCCCATTCAGCATATCGGATTCCTTTTCATGCAGATGGTTACTCTGATGTTCAGAGTTGTTTGAGCTTATGACTTGTTTCCTTCCCCTAGTGACTGGAATCAGAGGTGAGCAAGCAGAATATGCATTTTCATCAACACTTTCATCAGTGGATTCAGGAAGATAATCCGAGTCAGAGCCGTCAGTGTCATCACAATCAGCATCACTAACATCAGGACCATGGAAAGAATCTTGATGGGGTGTTTGATGATTACCTGGCCAAATATTCTGAGTGTTGCGCTGTACAGCATTCCTTCTTTTCCCTGCAAGCGGAATAGGGTCATCTTCATGTTCTTCATCTGATGATTCTGGAACATAGCTGTCAGAATCTAAAAGGTAAGTATCTTTGTGGGGTTGGACAAAACCACTGCTCTTTTGTGTAGACATAGGATGATCATCTGACTTTGAGCTACTGACACAATTCCAAGTAGCCCAAACTGAATTTTCAAATCTGCCTGAAGATTGTGCCACAAAGCCACCAGCAGTATCATTCGAATTAACGACTCTGGGAGAATCATAGAAATTGCTGGCATCTATATGGGGACTTAAATATTCAGCTGACTTTGACAAGTTCCAGAGACTTCGGTTGCTACATACAGGGACTGAAGTGGAAAAAACTGTGTTGTCTGATCTGTCTGGTGATTCGGCAATAAAGCCTCCACCAAGATCACACATTTGGATATTCATCGTTGATTGGTAGGTGGTGCTGGGATTTACCTTGAGACTTGAGTCATCATCCGATGTATGCAAGCTCTGACAACATATGATTTGGTCTTGGATTATAGATGGGCCTACAGCACTGTCTGCTCTGCTTGGTGATTCTGTAATACAGCTTGTAGCAGGATCACAAAGTGTAACATCTGATGGAGTTCGGCAGGTGTTGCTGGCATCTACATGGGGACTGGAATGATCCGAGTAAGGCAAGCTCTGAAGACTTGTGCTTTGGTCTTGGATTAAAGTTAGGCCTACAGCACTGTCTGCTCTGCTTGGTGATTCTGTAATACAGCTTGTAGCAGAATCACAAAGTGTAACATCTGATGGAGTTTGGCAGGTGTTGCTAGCATCTACATGGGGACTGGAATGATCCGAGTAAGGCAAGCTCTGAAGACTTGTGCTTTGGTCTTGGATTAAAGTTGGGCCTACAGCACTGTCTGCTCTGCTTGGTGATTCTGTAATACAGCTTGTAGCAGGATCACAAAGTGTAACATCTGATGGAGTTTGGCAGGTGTTGCTAGCATCTACATGGGGACTGGAATGATCTGAGTAAGGCAAGCTCTGAAGACTTGTGCTTTGGTCTTGGATTAAAGTTGGGCCTACAGCACTGTCTGCTCTGCTTGGTGATTCTGTAATACAGCTTGTAGCAGAATCACAAAGTGTAACATCTGATGGAGTTTGGCAGGTGTTGCTGGCATCTACATGGGGACTGGAATGATCTGAGTAAGGCAAGCTCTGAAGACTTGTGCTTTGGTCTTGGATTAAAGTTGGGCCTACAGCACTGTCTGCTCTGCTTGGTGATTCTGTAATACAGCTTGTAGCAGGATCACAAAGTGTAACATCTGATGGAGTTTGGCAGGTGTTGATGGCATCTACATGGGGACTGGAATGATCTGAGTAAGGCAGGCTCTGAAGACTTGTGCTTTGGTCTGGGATTAAAGTTGGGCCTACAGCACTGTCTGCTCTGCTTGGTGATTCTGTAATACAGCTTGTAGCAGGATCACAAAGTGTAACATCTGATGGAGTTGGGCAGGTGTTGCTGGCATCTACATGGGAACTGGAATGATCTAAGTAAGGCAAGCTCTGAAGACTTGTGCTTTGGTCTTGGATTAAAGTTGGGCCTACAGCACTGTCTGCTCTGCTTGGTGATTCTGTAATACAGCTTGTAGCAGGATCACAAAGTGTAACATCTGATGGAGTTTGGCAGGTGTTGCTGGCATCTACATGGGGACTGGAATGATCTGAGTAAGGCAAGCTCTGAAGACTTGTGCTTTGGTTTTGGACTAAAGTTAGGCCTACAGCACTGTCTGCTCTGCTTGGTGATTCTGTAATACAGCTTGTAGCAGGATCACAAAGTGTAACATCTGATGGAGTTGGGCAGGTGTTGCTGGCAACTGCATGGACATTTAATTGAGTAGTCTGGAAACCTTGGTTGCACTTCAAAGGGATCAGAGTGGCACTTGATGCATTGTCTTCTCCACTTGTTGAATCTGCAGTGAAGCTATCCTTAGTGCAAAGTTTCTTTGAATCCAAACCATGGTTGGCCTAAAAAATAAAGAATGAAGAAAAACATGACAATTGATATATTTGAACATTTTGAAATGTGTGAAATGGGCTTGTGTACACATTCAAATAACCTAGCCAAGTATTAAAGGCTAATGATAGGGTTACTTTTGGTATTCCATTGAATTCAACTCGTTAGTATTTTTTCATGAGGTTTCAAAGTACTAATTACTCCATAATCAAAAGAACATGTACTTTGAAGCAATAAAAGGGGAACTTATTAAGAGGATGGGCTTGGGCCAGTGTACATGATGTATCAAGTTTCTTTCTTTTTTCTCCTTTGTTTTAACTGCCACAAGAATAAAAAAAAAAACAGCGTTGCTGTTGAAACCCCTCAGCTTGAGTTTGTTATTGTAGCCCATTGAATTACCAAAATTACCGCAAACTTACATTCCAAACCCAAATATCATATCTAACTGAAGTTATCATGCAGAAACCATTAACTCACCACGGTGACCTTGACCTTTGACCTTTTGACCCCAAAACCAATCCCAACTTGCCTGTACCCAAGGGCAAGCCCCTAGCTAAGTTAGACATTAAAATCTGATTTCTAACTGAATTTTCATCCAGAAACCATTTACCTTTAACTTACCACACTGACCTTGACCTTTGACCTTTGACCCCAAAACTAACCCCAACTTGCCTACTCCCAAGGGCAACCCCCTACCAAAGTTTGACACCAAAATCTGATTTCTAATTGAAGCTATCATCCTGAAACCATTTACCTTTAACTCACCAGGCTGACCTTGACCTTTGACCCCAAAACTAACCCCAACTTGCCTACTTCCAAGGGCAACCCCCTACCAAAGTTTGACACCAAAATCTGATTTCTAACTGAAGCTATCATCCTGAAACCATTTGCCTTTAACTCACCAGGCTGACCTTGACCTTTGACCTTTTGACCCCAAAACAAATCCCAACTTGCCTACTTCCAAGGGCAACCCCCTACCTACGTTAGACATTAAAATCTGATTTCTAACTGAAGTTATCATCCGGAAACCATTTACCTTTTAATCACTACACTGACCTTGACCTTGGACCTTTTGACCTCAAAACCAATCCCAACTTGTCTACTCCCAAGGGCAACCCCCTACGGAAGTTACAATCCCAAACAACATTTCTAACTCAAGTTATCATCCGGAAACTAAGCTACCCGGACGGACGGACGGACAGACGGACGTTCCAGCCAGACGGAATTGTGGGGTGATAGCATTGTGTTCCCATTATCCCTTTTTCTAAAGATTCCCTTCTGGGGTGAAAAAAGTGGGGTGATGTGTCCTGAAAGGAACATCACCCCACAAGGGTGGTATGGTCAGAACGCACTTACATACGGATGGACGGACGCCCTAGGCGATGACAATACCCCTCGAGCCGAAAAACTGCTTCAGTGATCTGTATTGACTAACACCCCCCCCCCCTCCAAATGGTTGAAAACAAATTGGTTCATACCTCTCGCCATGGAAAATCATCTGGTCCGTAATCATACCGAAGCTCTTGGCCGGCATCGATATGATGAAGCGCAAATAGGCAGAGATGCGGGCTATTGTCAATCACAATCTTTTTCATTTTACAGTTCGGTTGCTTTGGCTCATCATTGATGTAACGGGCTTGACAAGAATCTGGATGTGATGCATCAACCCTGTTAGAGGGGAAAAAAAATTAAAATTTGATTTGCAGTGAAAGGGAAATCATCATTTATTTAAGAGGAACTGCATATGTGCAAGATGGTTTGATTTTCTGTTTTTATTGGGGAGAGGGAGGGGATTGACCATTAGTGATACTTGTATTTAATCATTCTAAACCAATGAATCCGACATTCTGGCTAACTGACTTTTTCAGTTCAGTAGAGATAAGTTATCAAAGTTCTGGCACGAAAAAGCTACTAATATGACTCGTACACATTCCCAGTATTCATGGAAACCAGGCTTTTCCCTACAATATCAAACAAATTTGTGGCACCTTTTAAAAGGGAATAAACAAAGGGAGAAAACTAAACAAATTGGGAATGGTCATCAAATACTGAACAACATCTTAACTGTAAGTAAAGAGTGCCCAGCACTAATTTCCAGACCTTGTAATTAAATGTGCCCCCAAAAAACCTGGACAATTGACCTGCCCACATGAGAGAATGTGAGGCCTTATGATAAAGTCATGTTAAGTTAGGGGTGAAGCTGCTGTACGGAGAATTCGTGCCAAAGTCAATTTTAACGATATAGCTACACTAGTGATAAAAAATAACAGTACTCTGAACCTGAATGACATTGAAATCTACATGTCTGCATGGTGGGTATAAGTAAAGTGAAACACATATGATGGTACATAGCACAAAATGCAAATTCACCAGGAGTATGGCAAAGAATTGTCTGGAGGGTCATTCCATGCCAACTCAACAAATGGTGCACACCATCACCTCTTGGATTTTTTTCTTTTTGGTGTACTGAAAGATACTTAGAAGAAAAGCAAATTCTGAAAATTTGGGGTCTCTACGACTTTTCGTTCTTGCGCAACAGCATTTTGAAATTTGAGGTGGGCGGGGCCGGGCCAGGGCGAAAAGTGCATCGCGTCACGAATTTCAATGTTTAAAGGGCCATATATTTAAAACTACATTGTATACCCCCCAGACATTTCAAACTTGGTAATCTGGGCTATGTTTTGCAGTAGATTTAAAATATTTAAACAGAAAGAAAGTAGCTTGTTTCATTTTTAAGTTAGAGGGGCCCCAAAATGGCCCAAAACTCATCTTGACCAATGTTCAGGGGGGGGGGGGGGGGGGGGGGGGGGGGGGTGTAAGTCAAAAATTGGAAATATTTTTTTCACCAAATGTTTTTCCTGTAATAGCCCCCAATTAAAACTACTTTCATGTAAAATCTTACGGGGCCCCTCCAACTTAAAAATGAAACAAGCTACTTTCTTTCTGTTTAAATATTTTAAATCTACAGCAAAACATAGCCCAGATTACCAAGTTTGAATTGTCTGGGGGTATAGCTTTAAATATATGGCCCTTTAAACATTGAATTTCGTGACGCGACGCACTTTTCGCCCTGGCCCGGCCCCGCCCACCTCAAATTTCAAAATGCTGTTGTGCAAGAACGAAAAGTTGTAGAGACCCAAAATTTTCAGAATTTGCTTTTCTTCTAAGTATCTTTCAGTACACCAAAAAGAAAAAACTCCAAGAGGTGATGGTGTGCACCATTTGTTGAGTTGGCATGGAATGACCCTGGAACAACATGCATAAATGCACTTACCTGTAGTCCACACCATTGTGTTGATATATAAACTCATACATGTTGCTCGCCTCATCGTTGTCAACAACCTGACTGACTTGTCCCCTATATTCCAATAGGAAATCCCCTTGTTGAAATGGGGTTGTTGTGAAAAGCCCATACCCTGAAAAAAACAATTACAAGTCAGAAGAAATGTATTGTTATTATTATTTACTGGGCAATTTCACATCAAAAATACTTACGTACCGTCAGCTACAAAACCTACATCAGTATGTAGCGGCAAGCCCAAAATAGATTTTCTTTTTAATATAATCTTTTCTGAGGTACATGTAGTGACTCTCTTTAGCTTACCTATAATGTCATTGATGTATCGTTGTTGGAAACTCCTTTTATCAGTACCTGAACCACAGAACTGTTTTGCTTCAGCGAGCGGCGATATTCTTTTCCTCAGAAAAGGCATATTATTCTGTAATAGAGAATAGCGTAAGTTTTAAACCACCAAATTTCTTCGGAGCAGGAATCAACGCCTTAAGTCGGGGTTCTCCCCAGAACTTTGCAAACCTGTGGAACATTCTAAACCCAAACTTTGCAAGTTAAGGTGAAGCACACTAAATTTAAACAACAGCATCTGATATTCCTTACTTGATGTTTATGTTTGGATTTCAAAGCTCTTTTGCAATCCAGAGCATTTTAAATTGTTTTAATGCATGATTTTAAAGAAATTCTTGACTTTTCTTTTTTCCGGCCCCAAATTTGTGCATTTCAGCCTAAATTTGCATGCCAACAAATCATGCGCATCGGTCTGATATGCTAGCTTGTGCACGGGGAGAACCCTACATGTACATGATGAAGTAAGCCTTGGATAAACAAAGTCGTAATCATAAGTGCTTAGTCAAATCTCAAAAGTTAGCAAATTATAGTTATACATTATCATTAAAAAATAGTCAGGTTGCAGTAATTACTTAAAACGGTCCCCGTTCCGTAACGAAGCTACAGCTTGAGTTTTAACGAACGAATCGTTGTTTACACGGGACGTCAGAATAGTCAGAGTCTTTTGGTCTGGGAACCACAGTCTGGGAACCACAGTCTGCAGTGCATATCGAGGGCAGCGTCAGACTCCGACTATTCTGACGTCACATGTAAACAACGATTCGTTTGTTAAAACTCAAACTGTAGCTTCGGTACAGATCGGAACGGGGACCGTTTTCATCATTTTTGGCACCATCGGGATCGATTCAACCCTTATACTTGTTAGCGATTTGAACGTGAGTATGTCAAGAAGAACTGGGCATAGGTCTTGGGGTAGCCCCACTAGTGTGGCCGTCGGTATGCTGCGCTGAACCCAAGGCCACACACCGTGGTCCGCGCACTACTGAGGACGTTTTCATAAAATTTGCAGGGAATTTCTTACATATGGTTGTATTCTACGATGTCCCATCTATCACTTCTGGGATGCTTAGGTGTAATGATGTTCAATTTTCCGAGATATTCTTGAATCTTTCTGGAGCCCATATGCACTCGTGAAAAGTCCGGTGATGGCAGCCATTTTGAATGTGACAAGAGATGACCTCAAGCTGTGACGTCTCGTTTATGCAAATTGCTTGTTGAGCGCGCGAGGGCGCGAGTTGCAAATGCAACGGCTGTTTCCTGTACCATGCATTTATCGTCTGGGGGGCCCCGTGCACTGATCTCTATTCAGGATCTACGGCACAGGAAACAGCCGTCGCATTTGCAACTCGCGCCCTCGCTCGACAAGCAATTTGCATAAACGTGACGTCACAGCTTGAGGTCATCTCTTGTCACATTCAAAATGGCTGCCATCACCAGACGTTTCACGAGTGCATATGGGCTCCAGAAGGATTCAAGAATATCTCAGAAAATTGAACATCATTACACCCAAGCATCCCAGAAGTGATAGATGGGACATCGTAGAATAAAACCATATGTAAGAAATTCCCTGCAAATTTTATGAAAACGTCCTCAGTAGTGCGCGGACCACGGTGTGTGGCCTTGGGTTCAGCGCAACATACCGACGGCCACACTAGTGGGGCTTGTCTTGGGGTACAAATATACTGCGGTCGATCCAAAACTCAGAGGACAACATGCTGGCGTAATTCGTGTCGTATACAGCATGCTAAATTTGATATGCCTATCTATGGGTATTACGTTAATACCCATAGTTCTAGGGGTATGTCCCGGCTACAAAGTCCCAGGGCCGGGACTAGTATTGATATGTGCATAACAATAAACATTAATGAACCAAACAATCATAGAATTCCAGACGAAGGGGGTAACGTGAACAAATAAATTCACAATTCACATAAATTATGATTGATCATTGAAGTAACCTCAGGCTCAAGTAGTCCGAGTAACTTGGACCCAACTTATCGCCTTTTTTTAACATTTGGACATGGTCTGGCTATAGTGGGGTCCACGCTAATACCGCGACCTGGACAACACCGTCATGACCGTCCCAAAAACCAACATTTTCCAACAAAAAACATCAGATTTCACCTTCAAAACGGCCTCCAAATTACTAGATATGCCACCTGAGGTACAAGTAGACATCGATAATTAAGATGGTTGTACTGAAGTTAACTTACGATCCGGAAAAAAAGTGAAATTTTCCGTTCATTTCGGAGAGCTCCCCTCGCGATCTTGAACACGTTAAATTCCCGATCGTGTTTAATGTTTGAACGACGCGATTTCTTCTACATGCCCAGCGTACATTCGATGGTCCCCGTATCCCGAGTGCGATTCCGTTACCGAGCGCGCGCGATGCATCGATTATGATAATGAGTCACGTTTGTAAACACATACATGTGCATTTCGAACTGTAAAAGGGAATCGGGAACCAGCTTGAACTGGTATCCGCCATAAAAGCTGTGCTAGTTCCCGACCCCCTATTATCCTTTGAAATGCACATGTGTTAACAAATGTGATCCAGTCTACTCATTATCATAATCGATGCATCGCGCGCGCTCGGTAACGGAATCGCACTCGGGATACGGGGACCATCGAATGTACGCTGGGCATGTAGAAGAAATCGCGTCGTTCAAACATTAAACACGATCGGGAATTTAACGTGTTCAAGATCGCAAGGGGAGCTCTCCGAAATGAACGGAAAATTTCACTTTTTTTCCGGATCGTAAGTAAACTTCAGTACAACCATCTTAATTATCGATGTCTACTTGTACTTCAGGTGGCATATCTAGTAATTTGGAGGCCATTTTGAAGGTGAAATCTGATGTTTTTTGTTGGAAAATGTTGGTTTTTGGGATGGTCATGACGGTGTTGTCCAGGTCGCGGTATTAGCTTGGACCCCACTATCGCCAGACCATGTCCAAATGTTAAAAAAAGGCGATAAGTTGGGTCAAAGTTACTCGGACTAAGGCTCAAGAGTAATAATAATGTTCTTATGAACAGAAAGAATTCACTGAAAACTCACCGCAATTACTGTCACTTTGTGTCAGGATCACTGAATGACTGACGTTTACAATTTTACATGAATGCGGCCAGAATTGAAAACACAATAAGAAACGCCACCAAAATAAAAAGGACAATAACAGCAATAACTAATTTCCGTATGGATTTTTCAAGCGCAAGTATCTTCTCCCGATAGTTGGGATAACAATACATTACAGTGTCAGCCATTTCAAACTTTTAACAGAAATAGAAAGGAGACAGCAGATAAGCACGTGCTAAGTATAAACATGGAGGCATGGTACAAGTAGTAGGCCTACATGTATGATGTACATGTACATGTGCAACGTTAACGTTAGGGCGTGAACGGACAACATGAGCGTTTTTTACATTCGGTTTAACATGTCATTGTCAGTACTGGCAGAGGTTATTAAATTGTCTCGATGGTACAGGTCATTATCAAAAAAATGGTTTGCAATTACATAAACACAAAATGGATAGTTTCATACCTGGAAAAAATGAAAACTAGGATGCCACACCGATGTTTTCCATCCGAATTCAGTCGACCAAACGCGGACGGCGGTGATCCGTTACATGGCAGCCATGCAGTTTACGCGCGCTTAGTGGCAATTCGCTGCCACGAGAGGGCGTGCTTGAATTGTGCTTCATTCCCCGTATACAAATTTGTCACACGGAGGATACGGGGTGTATTGTTACACAAATAAATTCCGGTCAGTACTATCAAATCGTGGACGACGGCCGGATATTCAAGAGATTGATAGAGCGCCCTCTTGTGACTGTATATTTGCCAAAAATCCATCATTTACAACCGTGGACGTCCACGATAGCGATGCGTCCACGGTAGACGGTGTGAATTCCGGTGAGGGTCCACAATTGAAGGCTGTTACACACGCACCCCCACACACACACCCAAGTTTACGTTACATACCAAGTGTGGACTTTCCATTGCTTTCGTGTAGTTAAGAAAAACCAGTGAAAAAAACTCATTTTTCTCAAACTGTGAAAACTCTTTCAACCCAATTGTTTTTCTATGATTCCCTTTAGTGTTTCTCTTCATTCTGCTACGGATAAACCTAACCCAAAAATGCCTCTAAACCTGTTTTCCAGAAATGGGGAAACACTGTGTGGACTTGCCCAAGTCCGCACAGAGTCTCCTCTACCTGGTTTATGTGGACATCTTTTGTTCGGAAGTCCACACAGTGAATGTAATGCCTGTACGCCCACACACACACACCTGGCTAGGCCACCCAAACTTAGCATATGGGGTTTATGGGGTACCTCTTTTGTTTGACCCTAATCCCCTTCTTTTGTTCTCCTTTATCTCCTTAGAAATCGCAAAATACATAGCGTTACGGCTATGGGGTACTTCAATTTCTAAAGACAGACTTGCGAGGTACCATTGTCCCTATTTTTACCCTTTGTTCCCGGTACCCCATAAGTACCAATATGTAAGAGCCAGCCCACTCCCCTGTGCCACCGAATTTTGAACTTGTATGTTGCATAACAAAACAAATGTAAATAAATAATATGCAGGTGAACACTTCAGAAACAACATAGAGCTCCTTTTCACAGCCTCCCCTTCCCCCACCCCGGTGGCATCGCTTGGGGTTGAGGGTGGGGCGTGACCACCCACCAATAACTTGGCATTGTCGGTACAATCATTGTCACATGGGCAAAACTCATGTGTTTGCAAGCCGCAATGAATAATGGCCATATCCATTGTACTCTGATTGAAGTGCACCATCATTCCAATGATGTCCAGTCCTCCCCTCCCAGCTAGGCCGCGCCCCTTCCCTTGCCACCAAATTCAGATTTTGATTTCTGCATGTATTCACCTAAATTACTATTGTAAATAGATATCAATTTACAAGTGAAGCTTTCATAATCTACACCAACAGGCGTACCTATCTCACAGCCCAACCCCTGCCATCCCTCTCCTACTCAAGTGCTCATCATGAGCAACTATACCCCCCCCTCCCAAATAATTGTACTGAATATGTATTATTGTTAAGGTTATATAATGCCTTGCGGAAATTCCACATATTTACATGCACTATGTAGGTTTGGCATTTTTTTGTCATAGTGGGAGTGGTTTGGAATATCTGGAAAGCGCAGGGGGGGTTGCAATATGGATACATGTACATGGTACATGTACATAATGCTGATTTTTTTTAATCAAAATTGCATTTATTTTAATATTTTCAATACAGAGAAGTGATATGGCGATTACGAGAGTATATAACTCATACTTTTTTATTAAAATATATGTACTTTAAAACAACTATCACTCTAGTGAAAACTCAAAATGGCCTCTATTCTGATTGATTGAATTGAACGTGTAAATATGGTCAGATCAAGCACATATAAAGTCAAATATAGTACCATTATGGGTGCTGCTATGCCCTCCAAAATCGTAATTTCGTATTCAGCATGACATTTTGAGTCTTTTCCAAACTGTCATCAGCAGTCAACATGGCCACACTTCTGTGGTGCATACATTGTTACATGGCAAGCAATCTAAATGTATTGGTGCTTATAAATTACAGGGTTTTTTGTATACAAACAGGGGATGTTTGATAATGTGTTAATTAAAAAAAATCAACTTCCCCACCGAACCACAAGTGCTTACAGATTTTAACCCTTTCTGGCGGGTATTTGTTTTTTTTCTGAAAGGGAGGGGTACAGCACACTGTGATCCCATGTTGATTTGCATATACTTTGACCGATTTTCCTACAACCGATTTGGCAGGAAAATATTGGTTGACCATTACTCTATAATATGACATTCTTGGTTCTATTGCTGTTACCACTAGAGGTGTTTTATATATATTTTTCCAAACTCTTGTCTAGATAACATTTTGGGCATAATTTCTGTATTTGTGTGTAAACATCC